TAGTAAATGTAAATATGCAAGCATTTAATGCATATAGTAAAAAATTTACAAATAAATTATGCATTAAATGTGTGTTGACTTTTTTTGCTACTGTTTTTAGTAAATAGGTTGGCTTTTTTAATATATATATATATATATATATAGATATGTACAAATTATTCAAAACGACATTTATTTTGTTAATAGTTGATAATGTCAAAATGACATTTGAAAAGAATAGGAGGTAGTAATAATTTGTAGTGATTGAGATTTCTGACGATAGCAAAACCATGGACGTTGTATATGAAAAAATATTTAATAATATTTAGATTTTTCTTTCTTAAAACATTTTTGTTAATAATTATATTATGATTTTTAATATTGTTTGTATTTTTTATTATTTTATACTTTATCATAATGCTTTCTGTGCAAATGCACATGTTACAACTAGTTCAGATGATTCCCCCCTCTAATACATTATCAACAAGTGGCAACAGAGACAAAAAGAACATTTGTCACAAATAACCCATATACGAATACATTTTAGGGAGATGTTACGATCTTGTTATAGAACTATTCCGTCGATGTTTGTTAGATTAATTATTCTGGACGGTTCGCGACGATTTCATGATTAACTAATAAGAACTGAGAGTTACAAACCCAAAAGAATTGTTTCTCACGACAACATGAATCTCACATCCACCAATAATATTCTTGATATTATTAAAAACTTTATGACTAACCAACAGAATTCTTATTAATTTTCTTTTACTTTTACACCAATTATTAAATAAAAGTAAAAAATCGAGGATTAAAAATCAACAGTGTGGCCCACCGCCGTCAACTCCCTATACCTGACCACAAGTCGGCCGGCGGCGTGGCCTGCCACCGCCGCCGCAAAAACCCCAACATTAAAGGACATGACAGAAAGCATGACCAGGTAAGCCAAACACATACGCAACCCATGTACGGCGCCGCTCACCGCCGCCGCCGCCTTGCCCCTTTGCTTGGAAACCGCTGCCGCCGGTAGCATCTCGACGGTCGCCGCCAGCAATAAGACGGCCATTAGGGCCAGAACGTACATCCCGAGGCAGCCGGGCCAGCCGTCGAACAAGATGGTGACGTGTTTGCCCCAAAAGAAGCTCGTGTGCATATTCATGGTTTTGGTCATGTTCATGGGCATGTTGGTTGTTTGGTTTGGGTTGTGATTTGGTGACATTGGCATGCCATCCATTT